ACGTTTCGTAATTCTTTATCACTAAAAATAAACACTCGTTTTGACGCACTCTGTTCTGTTGTGTGTGTGTCTGCTGCTGAAAACAACCTTCCTAATTTTGTGTCTGGCTATGATGACTGAGATGGACCATGTTGACTTATTAATAATATTTTGTTTGGGATGGAAAAAAGGAGTCAATTTCCCAAAAATGCTCCATCAGCAAATAGGTTAGTGTGCGCTGTAGACAGTATGGCTATGGAATTTACTAAACACACAGTCCAGAATCAGGTGATTAAGTTGCAAAACTTTAGCTGCATTTGGTGGATTCAGTTGCAAAACTTTAGCTTCGTTTAGTGGCGCCATTTACTCTAGGTAGACGGCGACCAGTTTCGTTACCGGTTGGTACATTCTTACAAACATTCAGGCAAAGGCCAGTCAAAGTTGAGACGGGAGCCGGGTTTTTATCGATGTTTCCCATCCTTATATGTACAGTAAGCCATCGTAAATTCATGGTTTGCCGGAGTTGCGTTTAATTTAAATCTCCGAACTTCTGAAGCTGAGATATTCTATGAATGAAGGTTTGTATCGCAGGCTAGAATTTAAAAACGGGTCACCAAATAATGAATTAGGTGCTAAATTTTGATTTAATGTCAGGTAAGTTAAAAACAGACATTCCGTCCGAGTGGGACTCATTCAAAAATTTGAGTGGGGTTCGCTAGAAAACAGAGGGGTTCGCCAGAAAAGGGGGGTTCGCCCGAACCATAAAAACCCCCCCTGGCTACGGGCCTGATGATGATCTAAACCAGTGTGACAACAGCTATTATACCTTCTCCATAATTATTTGATGTACGCTAAGCTCCAGTTTCCATAAAATTGCTATCACTGCAGCTTTCGGCAATGCTGATTGGTCATTCGAATAGGAGAGCCTTCCCGATTGCGTCGATGACAGCTTGTAACAATTGCAGTAAAATACTGCGACACTGAAGCGATTTTATGGAAACTAGGGTTACTTTCGACACAACTACTGACCGTTGAATTAAATCTCAAAAAATCATGTCGGAATTGGTTTCCACAACAGTTGAACAAAATATCAAATAAAAAATATATCAATAAAATCGGTTATCATCATCAGCATCATTATTATTACTATTTAATTGTTGTTGTAATTATTATTATTATTATTATTATTATTATTATTATCATTATTATTATTATTATTATTATTATTATTATTATTTATATTTTTATTATTATCATTTTTTATGATTACCGTTATCAGTATTTTAAATAAATATTATTATTTACAATATTATTGATATTTTTACTATCACTATCACTATAATTATTATTATAACTATTATTATTATTATTATTATTGTTATATTATAATTATCATCATCATTATTAGACTACCAAAAGATTGGCTTATGGCATACCTGATGAATCAGATTCAGTATCGCTATCGTTTATAGTGGTTTCCGCCATCTGAAATGAAAAAGAGATCATTAAAAAGTAACACCGTGCATAGAGTACAACAGTCGTGTCGTCACAACACCAGGTGGCACCCTTTGTTGTCAACCAGATGTTGGTTACCGTTCATTACGCCTGAATGACTTCATAATCTTAATAGTTTAGGATAGGCTTTCTGGAAAAGGCAGTTTAAAACCTAATAATTTACTATCAAAATGTACTGTACTAAAAACACAAAAGCTCGTATTATATTAGTTACACACATTTCATCAATTAAAATTTACAAAGAAAAACTAAGATACAACATCTTAATAATTACATTTAGAAATTGGGATCATGATTTGTCAGTGGAGAAAATGGCATCCGGTTGAACTCATTTTGTGTCGCCGATAGCAACGGAGTAGCATCTCGTGGTATTGTGACGCAACACTGTAGTACTCTATAGCAGTTCAGAAAACATCTAACGACTACAACTGACGTTATGAATATTTTCGTAATAAAGTGATTTGTTTACACAATTGATAATTAATAATAGAATCATAATTGATAGTAATTGTTATTGTCGTGATTGAATAGACAATAACTGGATTTGCGTCAGGAGAAACATGTACAGGTGTAATTTTTGCTC